GGGATCAGGGTTTAGGGTTTAGGGATAAGGGTTTAGGGTTTAGGGATCAGGGTTTAGGGTTTAGGGGCTAGGGTATACCCTCTTCTTCAAAGACCGGGCACCATATAGAGTTGAAAAGCCCTAAACCCCAAACCCGAAAAACTTTCTAAGATAGACTGGGTATATGAAGCCGAAGAGTTTAAAGTTCTCCCCTTGGCTATCCAAGTATCGGGTTCCAAAGGGCTCCTATTTTTTGCTTGTATGGGTTATTCGTAGGGTTTCTGGGGCTTATAAGGTTTATAGGGCTCAAAAGGCTTCTGGGGGCAAAAGGATTTGTCAGGCTTATAGGGTTTACTGTTCGGGTTTAGTGTTCAGGGTTTCTAGGGTGAGTGAAGAATCTGGTTGGGGCTTCCAAGGTGTAGGGCTTACGGCTTATAGGGATTACGTCAGCATTCTTGGGTTCCTAAGGTTTCGAAACGAGCTCTACAAGGGTTCTAAGCGAATCTACAACCGTAGCGCTTGGGGCTTCCTGAAGCTTCGAGAATCTATCAGGGTTTCTAGAGCTTAGGAGCTCGGAGGCTAGGAGTTTAGGGTTGCAAGGGGTCGATCAGGGATCTAAAAGAGCTTAGGTGTCTAGATTTAAGGTGTTGGGGTTCAGGAATTTCGGTTCAACTGAAGTCCAAAAGACATGCAGAATCACAAGCAAGAAGAAGTGCACGACACGCGCTTGCTTGTTAGTGAGTGGTTTAGGGCGGGGATTTAGGGCTTAGGCTCCAGGGTTTGAAGGGCCTAAATGGGCCAAGGTTTTGCGTATTGCTTTGTTGAGGACCTTCTCCCAGACTCAGAGCAGTCTAGAATAGCTGGATTCGGCAGGTCACTGACTACTTAAGTTTAGGATCCAGGTTGTACGGGGTTGGGGCTTTAGCGTTTAGGGGTTTGGGGTTGAGGCTCTTTGGCCATCACGTGCTGTTCGCACGGAGAGGGTGTGCAACTGACCCTAAAACCTCGCCAGTTCCTTTGACTTCGGCACTCAGCATGTTCGAGTGGTCGATTCGGTCCATTATTGAAAAACGAAGGTAGGGCCTTAATAATGAGAATAGGGTTTGGGATGCCTTATGCTATATAGCTATAACAAGGAACTCCCAAAAATCTTCTTGGTAATTCTTGAGGCTTTCAAAGAATTCCCAGACCTTGCTGTTTGCAGGTCTGGGATGGTGTGAACTAAACCCTAAACCCTAAACCCTAAACCCTAAACCCTAAACCTTAAACCCTAAACCCTAAACCCAATTGAAGATCCAAGATCGAATTCTGAGGCTTCTCACCAGAACCCTAGAAGACCTGGAGTGTAGAGCACCCTAACGAAACCCTAAGCCCTAAACCCTGGACCCGAACAGATGCTCATAGCTAGGGTTCAGGGTTTAGGGTTTAGGGTTTAGGGTTTAGGCTTTCGGATCCTAAGTCCTAAACCCTATAGGGTTTAGGCTTTAGGATCCTAAACCCTATAAACCCTAGAATCTAGCTTCGGAAGATGGAGGCCTCCGGCAAGAACTTGTACTCTGGGTTAATCTCCCGCATGAGGGTCACGGTGTCCAGCATGATCCGGACCTCACGGTTTAGGGTTTAGGGTTTAGGGTTTAGGGTTTTGGTCTCAGGTCGGCTCTGGGTCGTTTTTGTGGCTGAGAACTGATATCCTGAACAGAGCGGGCTTAGGGTTTTGGGGTTTAGGGCTTAGGGTTTAGAGTTGGGGTTTAGGGTTTAGGGAGATAGGGTTTCGGGGTTTAGGGTTTAGGGTTTAGAGTTGGGGTTTAGGGTTTAGGGAGATACGGTTTAGGGGTTTAGGGCTTAGGGTTTGCCACTTTGGGTTGAGGGGTTGGGGTTACTTTGGGCTTAGGGTTAAGGGTTACTTCGGGTTTCTGCTCAGGACGCTAGCTCGTGGGTTGGGCTGGACGTTGCCAAAAGTGATGAAGAAGTCGCCTTGAAATGGTGGAGTTGCTGTGGTGTGTCGTCTAGAGCAGCTGGCTAGCGCAGACCGCTTGCAGGAACAT